ATCACTTTCCCAAGACCAGAGGAAGCATGTGAGAAGGTGAAGGTATGAGAATATTGTGATTTGGAAGTGAGACTTGCAAAATGATGCCTCACAGGTGAACCGAGTCTTGAGCCACATCTTCCAACAGAATTTTTTAACAAGTTATACATATTTGAAACTTTGGAGATTTCATATCAACATCTGAATTTCTGGACATCCCTTAAAAAAAGTGGCAGAGTGAATAATCTGGCTGCAGGGCTTCCCTGATGTGGCAGAGTTACAATTGGTTGGAACCACATTCTGAAGACTGCTCTGCAGACTGCCATGGTTTTACTCTTACTACCTTATATTGTGATACTATAGGTGACCCTTCTTAACCACCTTGTGTTACCTGGCCTGTTCCTATAGGCATATTGGCCACTTAGGCTGTGTTTCAGACTATCCATCAAACCAATTCTAATCCTTTTAGATTTTAATTGCAGATTTAATAACAAGAAAGCACTTTTAGCCCACTGCATCATGCATGGTCATGTATCTATGGGCAGATGCCAAGTTGTTGGATGTCTCACAAAAATATCTGGCATCTGCTTTTCCCTCAAGGGAACCTTGAACCTACTGTTGTGTTAGGGATTTTTTTCTGAGCAAATGGGAAGCAGGGTTATATCAGGAAAAGTATCACTTGGTTTATAGTCAGTTATGGCCGGGGTCTTGATTTCTGCATTCAGTGATCAATTCTTTTTAAATACTGAGAGATTAGAATAAATATATGAAAGCATACTATTTTTTAAAATGATGGAAATTACCTATAATGTGAGCAATTGTGGCATCAAATGATACATCTGAGAGCTCTAAAACCTAGATTATTAAATCTAAAAGTTTAAATCTCTAAATCTGTAACACAGGATCTACTGTAGTGTGTGTATGTATGTGCGTGTGTGTGTGTGTGTGTGTGATTCATGTTCCTCTTTATTCTTCTTTGAAGTATGAACATGATTCTTTTTTATCACATCGGTACCACATCCTTGGGTACTAGGAAATTCGATTCTATCACTGTTGTTACGCATCCTAAACTCTCACATTTCTTAGCTGTTCCTTTGATCATGTTTTCTGGTGCTTAGTGTTCAAATGTGAACAGTGAACACTAGTTCTTATACTGAGAAAATGAACAACTCCTGAGCAGAGACATGCCTGGTTTCTTTGTCTAGCAGACCCAGAAAATGGGCCTGTTCAGCTTAAGTGGAAGACAAAAGCATATTATGACAAGATATTTAACCTTCCAAGGACAGCATATCCCAAGCAGGTGAGCAATGTGGTGATTCTCCTTTTTTTTTTGTCAGTCGAGGGGCTTGAACTCTGGGCTTGGGCGCTGTCCCTGAGCTCTTCAACTCAAGGTTAGCGCTCTACCACTTGAGCCACAGTACCACTTGCAGTTTTCTGAGTGGTTTATTGGAGATAAGAGTCTCATGGTCTTTCCTGCCCGGGCTGGCTTTGAACCGTGATCCTCAGATCTCAGCCTAGTGAGTAACTAGGATTACAGGCGTGAGCCACCAGCGCTCGGCCTGATTGATTCTCCTTATATAAACAATTTTTACACCATCTGTAACTTACAGGATCAGTGACAATGGCAAGGCAGCACAATATATTGCACTATAAAATCACTACATTGCTTTGTGAAAGCTACATTCAATTCGATCGAAGAAAGATGTTGACTTGTGTGTTGGTGAAAACATTCTTCATCATTCCATCATAGAAAAAAAAGAGTAAAGCAACAGTAAACTCCTCTGTGCTTGCTGAGTCTATTAATAGACAAATCGAATCACCCAACAATATCAACAAATGAACTCAGTCCTACTCAGAGATCTTTGCCTTAAGCAATAACCTCCATTTCCCCTTCTACTAAGAGAAGGGCTTGTGAAATTCTCGGCATTTGCTCTAATTATGTTACAATACTATTCATTTGTTGCACAAGCGCCAAATCAATATTAGTCATACCATACTCAGCTCTTTATTACCAGAAATATGGGATATAAGTTTTTGCACCATAAATGTTCAGATTCAATAGGCAGATGGTAGCTGCGGAATTCCCCAAACTGGAACAAGTTAAATTTAAACACAATTTGATAGTTCACACATTTGTGTAAGGGACTTAGATGAATCCAAATTGAATTTGAAGACATTTACAAATATTTGCACTGCCTTATTGGATGGTTGCCTGATTCTGACGTGTTACCCACCCTCCCTATTTCTTTCTCTAGGTCTTTCCAAGGGAGGCTATTGTAGAAATTGATCAACAGGAAGTGAGTTAACAGATGTCAACCCCTAGACTCCCTCTGTCATCGACTGATAGCCTCTGGTTACAGGACAGGAAGAGTTGTGAGCAGCACGCAGTTAAATTATGGGAAGTATCTGTATGTGTCTGGAGCCTTCTGAAAGCAGAGTCTCCTTTCTTCTCATTGGATTTTCAGTTTGGGATCAATGTTTTTACAGGAAGGTTCTAGAAGACACTGATATCATAATAAAGTGTACATGCTCAGAATTTGGGTATCATAATAATGCTTGCAGGCTTTAAAACTAGGGTTCATTCATCTAATTTAGAGAATGGTAGAAAATTTTATGGAAGATCTAAATTTCTAGCTTGTCTGAAAAATTAAACACTTGACAATATAGTAAGTACTCACCCAGAAATAATTTCTTCTGTCTTTCCTTTAATTCTGTTTACTAATTAGACAAGTAAATCCCTGCACGCCTGGAATCTGGGGGCTTTTTGCTTGACCCTCTGCTGTAGATTTTCTCAAAGATTCACAGTCTTTGGTGTATTAAAATTCTCTGGTAATTTCCCCAGTGATGATTCCTATTTTATTTATTTACTTTTTCCCCAAATGTATTTTGTTATAGAAGTATATTTCCTGCACATTTTGAAATGTGTTGTTCTAGATAATAGTTTGGTTTTTATGGTTTCAAAGTTTACAGAAAAAAAGACACTTCTAACATCCTGGTTATGGACTATATTATCCACCCTGGATATGGGCTATAAATTCAAGAAATTGAAGTTTGCTGGCATGTTTTTGTAATTTTACTTTACTTTCTTCTTTTTTTGTTGTTATATTGTCCAGGCTGGCTTCAAGCTCACAATCCTCCTGTGTCTGACTCCTGAATATCGAGAATGCCGGTGTCACCTTCATGCTGTGTTACTGACAATAAATTTTATGTTACCTTCTGATCAATATTTATGGAAACACCTAGGAAGTCTAAATTTTTATAATAATGATTTGATATCCATCTGTAGATATTTTCACTAACTTTCAAGATACAAAATCAAATTTTCTGATTAGAGCATTTGTGGAACTAGTCAGACGTCACCCTATCTTGAGAAAGATAAAAGATCCTCTCAATTTTACTTCAGGTTCAGTGTTAAAAAGTCCAGACTCTAAGACCCATTGCACTGATGATCTAATGGGAAGCCCTAAGAGTACACATGTCAAAGACAGGCTTTGGGGGAAGAATGTAGAACTTACATCGATGTTTCCTTCTTATAAACATCATCTGAATAACTCATAGAAGACATGGATTATAATTGTTTTTTTTGTCGTGGGGCTTGAACTCTGGGCTTGGGCGCTGTCCCTGCGCTCTTCAGCTCAAGGCGAGTACTCTATTGCTTGAGCCATTGCGCCACTTCCAGTTTTCTAGTAGTTTATTGGAGATAAGAGTCTCACATGGACTTTCCTGCCCGGGCTGGCTTCGAACATGATTCTCAGATCTCAGCCTCCTGAGTAGCTAGGATTACAGACGTGAGCCACAAGTATCTGGTAATAATTTCTTTTTTTTGAGAGATAAATCTGATATCCAATCATCCTAATAGCCCTTCTGTAAGTCCAATAATAAGATCTTACATTTCTTCTTGGGAGTTATGCACACCAGTTATCTTACTTATTTTCTGGGATAGTAGCTGTAATAGAAGTAAAGACTTTGAGCAGGACATCATTGCTAACTTCAAGTCTCTGAGATGTGTGTATTGTAGATTTGGTTGAAACACATTCTCTATAAATAAATGGCAAAAAAGGAGGACAAGTAGGTTTAGAAACAAGTTATTTACCACTTTAATAGGGCTGTCCAACATTTGGTCACATAGATCATTATGAAACCTAATTGCTTTCATAGCTTTCCTATCTCACCCGAAGAATTCTGAACACTCAAGAAAAAAAGCAAATCAAACATAGAAAGAGGTGCCATGATAAGACCTGTTGCTATAGCACTATGTAATTATGATGCCAGACTTTGGAATTATTCAGAGGACATTTCTGCAGTCTAGGACAGCTATACAAAGCCCTAAGACACTGTATTTACAGGACTTATTAATACAAGGGACCTATATCCTACCATAACTCTGCCAGAGTCTTAATATCATGGTGGAGCAGCTCCCTCAAGAATCCTCATTTTCTTACTTGTGGAAAAGCTAGTAGTTCTAAAAAATAGTTTCCTGGAAGAGGTTAGAATGGTTATTATTATATATCAATTGAATATAAAGTATGGTTATGTAAAGCCAAGCTTGCATGCTAATCTTGCACAGGGTAGAAAGCAATAAAAGAGGACAATGCGCTTGCTTCCTTGGGGCATCTGGTAGAAACAGAGGAAGTTCTTGATTCAGTATCACTATGACACCTCAAATTCCAGGAGTCCACGTAGTTGGCCTTCTATGGTCAATGCCATGGGCACCTATCTTCTTTTCCAAGAAAAAAGAAATTAAAACCAGTAAAACATCCAAAACTGAAAGGGTACACCAGCCATCTCACATTGTGGTACTGTTCATATCTTGAAGAGAATATATAATATTTCAAAATATTATATATACATATTTTGCAAATGGTACAAAGGAACGGTAGATCCAAATTAGAAGAGGGTTGATCGTTCTTCATGATTCCCCAAAAATTTCTCTGAGAAAACTCTTTTTTTTTTTGAAACAACTTTCCATGGTGGTAGTGCCCAGAGCTCCAAATCTTATTATGGGATGTTTTGTTACACACAGTAAACACACTGTGATCATCTGGTAATCAGTCCAAGTGCAAGTAAGAGATCCATTTGGCTTGTAAATGTATAAGATGTTTTGATTTTTCCACAATGAATCCTCCACTGGTTGTTTTCCTGTGTCTACAACAAGTTCTTCTCTTAGGTTCTTGGATGAATCTGAAATAAGAAGAGAGAAAGATATTTCAAGGAGAAAAGTACAGAATGAAGGCACAAGGAGGTGTTGATATTGAAAGTGAGGAAGTTTTACAGTGTCGTTTCTTGAAGGTCAAAAGTCCTAAGGCTTACAGTGGCTGTTCTCAAATGATAAAGCATATAGACAGGTCCCATGTTTTCATGAATGTGTTACGGTAATGTTTTTAAAAATCACAATTGAGAAGAAAGACTCTTGGAGCAATGTTTATCCAGAATGAGCTTCATGGGCATGCAACCTATTCAGTTGCAAAGAACTCTGTCCAAAAATTGATCCCACATTTGGTTTCATGCACTGCTGACTTTATTAAGAATTTCTGAAAAAGGGCCTTGCATTTTCATTTTACACTGGACCATGCTAATTATAGAATCAATCTGCATTTTTTTCTTTTCTTTTCTTTCTTTCTTTCTTTTTTCTTTTTTTGTCGGTCATGGGGCCTGAACTCTAGCCCTGGGCGCTGTCCCTCAGCTTTTCAGCTCAAGGCTAGCACTCTACCACTTGAGCCACAGCACCACTTCTGGTTTTCAGGTAGTTAATTGGAGATAAAAGTCTCACAGACTTTCCTGCTCTGGCTGGCTTAACTGTGATCTTCAGATCTCTGCCTCTTTAGTAGCTAGAATTATAAGGTGTGAGCCACCAGAGCCTGGCAATCAGCCTGGCATTTCTATTCATGGAGAATTTGAGTTGAGTGGGTCATCCATGGCTTTGTCTAATTGGCCTATTGTAAGAGAGTAGGGGTGGCATTGGGTGAAGCTGTGGCCCAAATTTGTCCACATTCATGAAGGAACATAAGAGACCTTTGTAAAGGTCTGTTCCATTCAATATTTTAGAGTGATCAAGATCATATTCCTTTTATAGTGGATGCCATTTAATTCATTTCACCATGGCTCCAAATGCTCAGATATTCAGAAGGACACATACACAGAGCCTAAATAGTGATTCTAATGGAGCTGAGGCCTCTATTGAAAAGTTCTAGGCAGCTTTATCATCTTTTAAGTTTTGTTCTCTTTGTATATTGCTGAGGATCAAACCCATGGCTTTGTGCCTGCTAGGAAAGAACTCTACCACTGAGCTACATTCCAAGCTCTCTTAATTCTTTATAGTTATAATTGTAGAGATTGATTATTCTCTGAGTTCAGGGGTGGATGTCCTTTGAAAGCTTTTGAACTTGGGCAGAACTGTAAGGAAAGATTTCATTCAAAAGTTGGTTAGGCTAGGAGCAGAACATATGAGAATTTCCTTACATTTATTTTCTTATCTTCTTGTTCCAATAATAGATTCTTCCAAATGTTGGTTTCCTACATTTCAGTAGCTTTATCGCCTTTGGTTTACACTATCTTCTTTTCCACCCAAAGGAGGCAGAAAAATATTTACAAAACTGAACTGAAATTGACTTTCATGTCTGACTTCCACATTTCCAAACTTTTGTCCTCTTAAAGATAGGAACTTCCATAGAGGATACAAGAGTCATCTCTAATACGTTAGTATTCTGCAATTAGGTAGCATAGGCTCATTTGTGTTTATTTTTTAATACATATTTTTTATTGTAAAGGTACTCTACAGAAGGGTTTCAGTTCCACGAGGAAGGTAATGAGTACATTTGCTATTGAGCATTGTTACCTGCTCCTTGCAATTGTGTTTATTGAACAAAGAAATGAGTGAGATTTCTTAGAATCAGGGGAAACTGTAACAACATAAATTGGTTTAATTTTTTTCTGTTCTGCAAGTTCTCTAAATCTCTCAGAATTTTCTGAATTTTTAATGTCTTTTTCCTTTTCCAACTCATTATTTTCCTGGCCAGCAAGTGGTATTACTTTAAACATCTCTTTCCTTTTCCTTCCTGTCCCCTTCCTCCTTTCTTCTCCTTTGCCCTCTTTCCCTCCTCCTCCTCTCTCTTTCCTCCCTCCCTTCCTTCATGCAAAATGGACTGGAACTCAGGACTCTAGACACAAGCTCTCAGACTAATAAACTATAATTCTGAGATAAGATGGAATGTGTTATAGCTGGTGCTTTGTTCTTTCAGTGATATACAAAAAAACCACTGAGATTAAAATGAGCAGAATTTTACAGAATTAGAGATACTATGAGGCAGACAGACCTAAGAGAATGTGGATAGATGACTGTCAGGGATTTATATTGGCCAATCACATAACATAATGATTTGACAAAATGACTATTAGGGTTAGTTACAATCTGAAGCCTGATTCCTCTTTTAAACAATGGAACTTAACTTTATATTGTGTGTTAATCATTGGTTTTTCTCATTTCTTTGAAAAACATTCATATATTTGACTGGAGCAAACTAAAATTAATATCTCTGAAGGTATACCAGATTGTTTGCAGCCATTTTAACTGGCTAAATTTTCTTTTCAAGTGGCTGTGATTTTCTTCTCATTTCATTCTTTTCCAAATTCTGTTCTTGAGCAAGTGACACTCAGGTTTTTTGATAAAGAATCACAGCCTTGTTAAATGACATTTCCTCTAAGAAGAGCTGTATCTTTCCAGTAAGCCATTATTCTACACATGCAGGGTACAGATGTATTCCCAAATTGTCTATAGACTCTGTAGCCCCAACGTTTCTGGATTTGATGTACTATTTTTTAGAAAGGAAGTAATTTAATAGGTACAAAATCAGAATGAAATGTCTCTAGCCAACCCTTAGTCTAGTCTTGCTAATATGTCCTCCTAAAAAAGTCTAAAGAAGAATCTAGCCAATGGTCAATTGGGGACAGTATTAGTTTAGCCATGAAACTTCACCCAAATGTACCAAATTTCTCCAAGTATGGTTTTTTATATTACTTTTACTTCAGAGTAGATCTTAGGTGACCTCTCAAGGACAACTATTTCTTTTTGATGGCATGGCATCCAGAACTTTTTTGCTATTTCTTGGGATCAGTTCTTTCAAATCTCCAGAAAGCAAAGCCTATGTTTGCTTAATACCACCTGTCTTTTCTCCTTCCTTTCTTGGGTTATGCTGCCAGAGAGATCCAATGTCCCCAAAGTTTGTTTAGACAGGACTAGTTTCCAGACTAGTCCACATTCTGGGGTGCTTGGTAGATCAAAGACTGAATTCCAACTCCTTAAAAAATGGACACCATAAATTAACACCATCAAGTTTTCAATGCATCTTTTGTTTGCCTACATTTCAAAGACTTCTGAGAATCTTTTCTTTGGATAGCTATTGTGATGTCATCTACCAAGTGATAAGGTTTAAGAAAGCCTTCTTTGAAGTACCTATAGAAAAAGAATGAAGTTCCAGGAAGCTTATTGTCCATTAATTTTACATTGAAGTTAATTTTTAAAAAAGAAACTCTTCAGCAGACATTTTAACAATCTAGATGTGTTTTTCAACTTTCTTATTATTTCTTTTTTTTCTGGAGAGGTCTCTTTTTTCTTACCTCTTTGTAAGAAGGGAATAAAAAATTTATATGGATCAATATAATTAAAAGTATCTCTGTAAATTAAACTATTTTAAAAGTAAAATATTAGAAGTGAACAGATATCTGTGTTCTGATGGGAAAATGCACAGGGATACAAAAAATTAATGTAAACCTTATTTTCCAAGCCAAGATCTGGTATAGTCTACCACTTGAACAGAATAAGTGACCTCTTACATGCACTATCTGGAATTAGGAATTAATTATGTGTTTAAAAGCACTCATTATATTGTGAATTTGGGACAAAGTAGGAGGGAGAAAATATATGCTAGTAGTAGTGTTGAAATTTTCTCATACTTTAGGAAGTGCAATTTTTCTTCTACTGTTCTTTTTTAAAGATAGACTTGAGAATTCTCAGATGACTAATGGACAGGTCATATGGCTAGAGACCTTACTCTTTTTCTTGTTTGAAATGGATGCACATGTTGGAATAGGTATATCATCTGCTTTCAAGCCAATTACAATGGCGATTTATTTCTCTTGTGCACTCTATCTATGATCACTCAATCCACCCACCCAGGGTACTAGCAAGCAGTCGGCTCTAGCCTCTATTGCTGAGCTCAGACTCTAAACAACACACATGTCAAAAATGTCTAGAGTGTACTTATAACACACACACCTGATGATTTTAGAATAGATTCTACAGAGGGCAAATGAAAGAGTTATATGGGTCACAAAGGAGTTGTACAAATCATTCCTGCTTCTTTTTCATTTTCTAGTTCTTTTTTTTTTTTTTTTGAACTCTGGGCCTGGGCGCTGTCCCTCAGCTCTTCAACTCAAGGCAAGCACTCTACCACTTGAGCCACAGCACCATTTCTGGTTTTCCGAGTGGTTAATTGGAGGTAAGGGTTTCATGGACTTTCTTGCCTAGGCTGGCTTTGAACCGCAATCCTCAGATCTCAGTTTCCTGCGTAGCTAGGATTACAGGCATGAGCCACCATGCCTGGCTCTAGTTCATTTTTAAATTCATATTCCATCATCCAAAGTATCACCTACAATATACTCTTAGAATTTCCCATATTTAAACTTCAAAATAATTTGACTTGTATTATTTTTCTTTAACCAGTTTCGAAACTAGAGACGTCATGAGCTGGACTTCTGGTCACCAAGGATGCTTAGTTACCCACCAGAATAGAGAGTAGAGATTTAGCATAAAGCTTATGAGCCTGCGTTAAAAATAAAGGTGATTAGGTTCTAACTGCACTGGCTAACATGCAGAGTTGTTTAAAACAAATTAATTTGTAAGGTTCTCATCAAATTATTTGGTTAAGTCTTTCAGGTAAAACATGGTCAAAGGGAAATCTGATCTTTTTTTGTCAGATAATTAAACATGTTTTCTGTGGGTAAGTGGAATAGATCAGACCCATTTCTGAATACTCTCTTCTGGAGGTGTTCTACCGACATGAAATAGAGAAATACACACTGAGCTACAAGGAGACCTGCAGATCATCTCAGCAAGCTAGAATGGTTCAGACTCAGACTCCCTCTTTTCCATAGGCCATCAGTTGAGGCTATTTACTGACCAGTGTGGTCAACACAAACAACTATATTTGATGAATAAACTGTCTCCATTTGTATCATATGTGAAAAACATGAGTATTTTGTATGGTGTTATTCAGTATTCTAGTTGCTGCTTTCTGTATCACAAAGCTTTCAAAACCATTTTTTAATTGAAAAGATAATAGTAAGAAGAAAGGTCAAGTTAACATTTCTGATCCAGGGGCTAGAATCAGAGGCTCCTTTAAATTTCAGTCACCACTTTTAGTGCAGTAAAAATTTAACCTACTGGTATTTGTAATTGGTGGAGATTGTTTTTGAGATGGCCAGCAGATTAATACACACACACACACACATACACCATTGCTGATATTCAGGTGGTTTACAAACATATAAATATATATATATATATATATATATATATAGATAGATAGATAGATAGATAGATAAATTGGTTTTATGTATATATATATGTGTGTGTGTATATTATTAAATTTTGATCATTAAAATATTGACATGCTTTTGTACTAGATGTAAATTGTTCCTGTCTTAAAGGAGTCCCAAGCTTTACTCTTTTCCTCTCTCCTTTAGTATTCTAAGACTTTTCAATCCCTATATGGTTAATGAGCCTCTCTGGAATAGCATCCTAGCATTAATTTGGATGAGGTAGTTTAATTTTGAAGATCACTTCTGATTTAACCAGAGAAAATCAAGAATTATTATTTCACAGAAACCTTTTGACTTCTGTAAAGGCCATCAAGTAAAGAACCTGGACAAGGTGGATATACTTAAACATGGACTTTTTAGCAGACCATCTGGATGAATGACACAAGACTTATTTGACTATCATCCCACGTACCATAGGTGGTAGATGAATTACACAAATAATTACCTCACTGTTCCCCTTTCCTCTGGCTATGGCTGCCTAGTTTTATTTATGTCTCTGTAACAGAAACTCTAAATGTTCTTGTGGAGAATGTAAGTTCAATCTCTTACCTTCTCATTCGTGGATTGACCCAGATCTACAGAGTTCAGCATGCTTTCTTTCTGTTATGGAACATGATTTCATCTCTCCCATTCAAAGCTTTTCTGAATGCTGTTTATGTCCAATACCAAGGCCAACAGTACAATGTGTAGCATGCATCAGACACTGGAAGGAAATGGACTTACTCTTGTAGTCTTAATTTTGTTGCCTGTTGCGCACATCCATCCAGAATTGTCAGGGAGTGTCTTACATTCTTCTCCCTCTAGGCAAGGCTCCATCTCACACCACCACTTCCCAATCACTATGGAGGCTGTGCAAAAACAGAGACAACAGTGTTTGCAATTCATCAACTAATCAAGGCACTGCTGCTACATTCCTCCGGAAGACTGATTTCATGTTGGTAGAGGCAGAGACAATCGATCCACTTTCATCCTCCATGATGGATTAAGAAAAGTTTCATTAAGAAAGAATTATTTCCTCATATGATGAAAACATGCTAAATGAAAACACCTTTTTGGTCTTGGGGGATTTTTGTGTCATTAGCTTTTATAGATCAGGAATCTTGTATGAACTGTTTTCCATGAAGGGGACAAAAGAGCTAGTCTTCAGAATGACTAAGGCATTCTATACCTAAAGGCCAGTTTATCCAACCAGCATTAGGGTTTATCCCTTAGCCTAAGGCCAGCAAGAATTTCAAAGGCCTAGCAAAAGGGAAAAAAATGAGTTGACTAAAAGTACAAAACAAAGTTGCAAAGTAAAAAAAAAAATCAAGAGTAATGATAAATGAAAATTTATTTCTTACTGCCCAAAGTAGAGTCACTATGGGCTCTGGTTTCCTTGTTACAAGTTTGATAAATGTGGGTGAAACAATTACAACCCCAGCCTCTGATAAAACAGCTCCTCTGCAGGTTGCAACCACGGATGACCATATTAAAGTGCTGGTAATGAATCTAGTGTATTTATTTATGGCACATTTTAAAAAGAAATAATGACAGTTTATAAAAGCCAGTGACTAGATTCCCTTCATGCCAATCGAGATTCTCCGTAACTCCTTTTATGTCTTGAGTGAAGAAATATTTGTATACAAGCAGCAGCAGTCATTTCTGCAGTTACTCAAGGGGTTAGTTCTTCACAAACCCAAAATGGTGGTCAGTGTTTGTTTTGTGATTCTGTTCCACTGGGCCAGGGCTGTAGTTCTTTACGTACTTACTACTCCACCCCTATTCTCAAAGAAGAGTCTCTACCATATAAAGTTGAAGTCTCACTGTGACAAATAAGCCAAATGTCATCTATCAATGGCATAGAGGATTAACATTGAAATGAATAGGGTAATACACCCTGAATAAGAGAGGAACACATTGAAGTCCTTTGTCCATCTTGGACTCGCTAGGGGGATGAGACACATTCAGACGTTGGCCTGCAGTTATATCTTTCTCCATATTTTCTTTGCTTCAGTCCCTCAAATCCAGTGTTCTTTCATCTTTGCTTTGCGAAAAATTACTAAGCAAGATTATATAGATAAGTCATCCCTCTTGTCCTATGTCATCGACTCAAGGAAATTTTCAAGGTTAATTTACCATTTTTGACTTTTGCTTTCTATGTAGAACAGAACAAAGGATGTAGAATGCAACTTTGCTGGGCATGGTTAGCAAATAGAAGGAATAAAAATCTTGCAATGGGCTCTATCCACACATAAGGCAACAGGATACAGAAACAGAAAGGAATAATCTTGTTATTGGTAAAGGACTTAACACATATGAATAGTTGACAATGTTAAATAAGAGTGAGGAATGTTTTGGTAGCAAGAAAAACATGTAGTATGTAGAAAGGGGTAATATCGATCAAGATATATTGTAGTCACAGACTGCAATGTTAAATGGCAATTCCTTTGTACAACTACTTAAAGATAACAATCAAAAAATTAAACCAAAAGAAAAATGTAGTGTTGAGAAGGACTCAAAAATTTGTACAACTCCTGGTACAGTGAGATAAAAATCAGTATTTGGCAATGTGGATTGAAAACCTATAATCTGCAGCTCCCTTTCAGATGGTGCATTATCAGTAACAGTCTAGTTACATTTACTACTAATTCTAATGCTTATCTCTTAAAGCCCTTGAAACATTTCAGTATTGTTGCCTGAAATCTAAACCAGTGGGAATGGAAACCCTCTGATCTTTGCTCTGAGGGCAAAGACATTTTCCCAACAATCCTTTAATTTAGTATGTTGTCACCTTTTCTTTTAATTCACACAGGTGTGCTAATAATGAACATCTACCAGTGAGGTCAGCTAGTTAGAATTCTCCCCCTTCCCCTTAAGAATTGTTCTGTGTCTTCTCTTCCTTTAAGCGGCTCTCTGCCCTCTTGGAGTCGACCTACTTCGTTCAAGCTAACAAAGCAGTTTGCCTTTCTCTGAGGCATTAATATTTCCTAAATGAAAATGTAGACTCTAGGGGAAAAAAATCTCCAAACTATGTTATCCCTTTTAACTCAAACTTGTAAAGATTTAATGGGTCACACAGAGGAAAGGGTTTTTTAAGAATTAAAAAAAAATGTCGCTAGTGGGAGATGAGGGAGGAAGTAACAAAGTTAGGTAAGATATGTACTCATTATCTTACTTATGTAACTGTAACCCCTCTGTACATCACAATAAAAGAAAACAATAACATTTTCAAAAAAGTCCCCATATCTATCTAACATCTAGCTAATATATTTATTAAATCTACCTAAATATCTATCTAATATCTAAGATATTATATTGTGCTTGCATCTCCTAAATCAAGTTTTGTTTGTGGCACTTATTCCCTGGCATATGAGAATAAAATCATTTAGTGTTGTGCTTCTAAACATGCTTTGCTTCTGACTTGTGTACTGCCTGGCCATCTTAATATCCTTCTCTTCATGTCCTGGGTCAAGTAACAGTCACTAAGGTTGATTTTTTTTATCTGCTTGTAACTTCTGCAGAAAGAAAATTTCAAAATTCTCTTCCCTCATACTCCAAAGCTAATTAAAACCATCAAAATGTAGCAGGAAGAAACTGTTAGGTTTAATAAAATGAGATAATCTCAATGCTGTTTAATTTTTTTATAACTTCTCATAGCAAGAAAAATGTAAATATAAGTGATTCTTAAATTCTCAAATTTTAATCATCCATTCAAATTGACTCCTCTCTGGTGTGCACTGAGTGCCTCATATGTGTTTCTGTGTTAGGTGCTGTAGAGTATTGCTTTATCTTCAGAGTAACACTAGAAGGGGACCGTTATTAGGAACTAATTTTTACTGATAAGGAAATGGAACCCTGAGTGATTAACTTTTCCCAGCTTATATAGATAGGCAGTATGAAAATTAACCCTATAATTCACATCTGTTAAACCCCAAACATCATTTTCATTATTATAGTGCTTAACCCATTCTAGTTTAGTTTTCAGTATTCAGAGGACTTGAAGAGAAATTATTGGCTGCTGAGCAAATGAATTCTCTCTGCTATATTATTACTCAAAATAATTTTATTGCAAAGATAAACAAGGAAATTTTTTTAAATCATTAGTTTCTTGTGAAATTAAGTTCTCTTCAGAACATGGGTAATTGCCAGTTTATCTCACATGCTGCGGCTGAGTCTGAGGCACACATTTGTGGACTCTATTAATAACAACATTTTCACAGACGTTTCTACATGCAAATCGTCTTGAAAGCCTTGAGATACATCACTTGCTACAAAGACTTCTCATCCTTAGAAGAGCTAAGTTAATTAAACAGCAGCTACAAAGACAGACTGTCCCTTATCTGCACATTATGAAAGAAGATCTTACGGTGCCTTTTTACCCTGGAGTTCTGGGACTGTACCTAAGGTATCATGTAAAACAAAGATTTGATCTTCAATTCTTTCAAGAATATACCTCTTTCCTTGATTCTTTATTTTTAAAACTGTATTTTGTTGTCTTTAAGTAGTTGTACAAAGGAGTTGCCCTTCAACAAATTAAATCAGTTTAAGAATGCAATACATTATGATTGATGCCACCTCTTTTTATCATTCTCTCCTTTTCCTCCCTTCTTCCCCTCAATTTTCCTAATTTTGAAGGATATGCATTAAAGTATTATGACTGCACTTAAGAGATTCTTAAAGATCATTAAAACAGCTTTTTTTTAAAGTTAGTTTTGGAGCTTGAACTCAGGGCCTGGGCACTGTCCCTGAGCTTTTGTGCTCAAGGCTAACACTCTGCCATTTTGGGCCACAGCTCCACTTCCATTAAAGTGACTTTAATCATGACTCTTGATTCCTCCCATTGACCAAGTCAAATTGCCACACAGCAAAAGAGATATTATAAAAGGAGACTCAGTTCAAATAAACAATGGGACTTAATAAATACAGCAAAGAACACTTTTGCTAGGTAGGAACTTCATTCCCTGTTTCATGTAATAGAAAGAACAAGACACAGTGCTAGCCTTCCAAGCCTGCAGGTTAGTTCAGGATTCTCAATAGGAGCATCACTGGCTTTTAAGAAAGAACTACAGTGATATTATATAAATGATCCAAGTGATCTTCTAGAAATAATGATATTATTAGTTCTGAAATCACAGAGCTTGGACTTTTAAAAATATTTATTTATTTGAACATAGGGAATAGTCAACAGAAGGTTCTAGAATCTATATTTAGTGAACAAAAAGAAGACATGACATAACTAAAGGGTGTTTGGAAAGCTAGGCATGGCAGTATATTCCCAGCTACTTGGGAGACGGAGGCAAGAAGACTTCAAGTTCTATCCGTCCTGGGCAAAGTTAGTGAGACCTTATTTCAGACATAAAATATAAAAGGGTTGTGGATTGTGGTTCAAGTAATGAGCACTTTGCAATCTGTGGGAGGCCCTGGGTTCAATCCACAGTCCTGCACTCATCCATCCATCAATCAATCAACCAAATAAAGGATGCTCAGGGAAGATGAAATTGGCAGAAGTGTTCAGGTGAAAAGAAGGAAGAAGCAAGTGGCCAAAATGCCAATCAAGTATCACTACATTCAAAGAGAAGCCATAGGATTTGTTTATTCTGAGACAGCCCTGGAAGACCTCAAACTTGGGGAGTGAGATTATGGCTGCGCTTCAAACATGCCTGATGGGCACGAAGCCTAGATTTTGAGTTCCTGCAATGGAGTTATCAAGAAAGGCAGAGCTGAAAGCGACATTTAGAACAGAATCATTTTCTTAACACAGTGGCCAGTAGCTAAGTCATCTTACCTGTCACCATCCTGGCAATGGGCTTCATTGTATGGCACTATACAGTGGGCCCCTTGAAGTCAGCATCAAATGGCCCAGATAGCT